ATTATTCCTTTTCAAGGCTAAACAGTATCCCATTGTTTATCTTTTCATCTGTTGATTGACATTAGGTCTGTTTCTACTTTTTGGCTATTGTGAACAACACGCTGTGAATCTCAGTATCAAAGTATGTGTTTGAGTGCCTGCTTTAATTCTTTTGGGTGTATACCTAGAAGTGTAATGCTTCTCTGTGTAAATGTGAAAGAAAGGATGCACACTCTTAAATAGCATAATTTGAGTTTAGAGTTGATCTTACAAGGCCAAATATGGGCCCTGGATTAAGGGAGGCTGTGAAGCCCATCCTAAAGTCTAGCTGCAGGACTGCTGCCTCAAGGTACTGGGAAATTCCATTTCCATGAGAACTGGTTATTGGAAAGGCTCCCAAATGAGAACTTGAATCCATGAAATGAAATTTCCCTGTTATCACCAATAAAAGCTTGTGAGTTTCTTCATTTTCATAGTTTTAATGCTTTGCTTTAAATTGATTCCTGCGTCTGCATTTTTATACTTTAGAGGTTTTGAAAAAGATTTGCTATTAGAATCATAGAACTAGGAAGGAAATTTAAATGTCATCTTTAAAAAAAAATTTAACATTGCCTGCATGCTTGGTCTCATCCTAAGCACAATTTTAAACCAAATTTTTTTTATTGTTTTTATCATTCATATGTGCATACAATGCTTGGGTCATTTCTCCCCCCTGCCCCCACCCCTTCCCTTACCACCCTCTCCCCCCACCCCCTCAATACCCAGCAGAAACTATTTTACCCTTATCTCTAATTTTGTTGAAGAGAGAGTATAAGCAATAATAGGAAGGAACAAGGGTTTTTGCTAGTTGAGATAAGGATAGCTATACAGGGAGTTGACTCACATTAATTTCCTGTGAGTGGGTGTTACCTTCTAGGTTAATTCTTTTTGATCTAACCTTTTCTCTAGTTCCTGGTCCCCTTCTCCTGTTGGCCTCAGTTGCTTTTAAGGTATCTGCTTTAGTTTCTCTGCGTTAAGGGCAACAAATGCTAGCTAATTTTTTAGGTGTCTTACCTATTCTCACCCCTCCCTTGTGTGCTCTCGCTTTTATCATGTGCTCAAAGTCCAATCCCCTTGTTGTGTTTGCCCTTGATCTAATGTCCGCATATGAGGGACAGGTCTTTTGGGCCAGGCTAACCTCACTCAGAATGATGTTCTCCAATTCCATCCATTTACCAGTGAATGATAACATTTCGTTCTTCTTCATGGCAGCATAAAATTCCATTGTGTATAGATAACACATTTTCTTAATCCATTCATCAGTGGTGGGGCATCTTGGCTGTTTCCATAACTTGGCTATTGTGAATTGTGCTGCAATAAACATGGGTGTGCAGGTGCCTCTGGAGTAACCTGTGTCACAGTCTTTTGGGTATATCCCCAAGAGTGTAAGCCAAATTTTTTTGGCAGTATTCTAAATCACACATACAAGAGAATACCTAAAATGTACAGCTACAATTGAAAGAAAAAAACCTGTTAGGGCTGGTGGAGTAGCTCAAGTGGTAGAGTGCCTACCTAGTTTGCCCTGAATTCAAACCCCATACTGCCAAAAAACAAAATAAAATAAAGAAAACCCACGCCCCCTCCCAGTGAGAAAGAGAACATCTCCAGTATCTTAGAAGCCCCAGATGACCTCAATAAGTTGCACACTTGAACTTACCCTGAGAGATAACACTGTCCTGAGTTATTCCATTTCTTTCCTTTATGGTTTTATCACTTGTGTTTTTTTCTCTTCAACAATACTTTTAGGGAGTTTTTCTGTCTTTGAGATTTGCAGAAATTGAATCCTGTTCTATCTATTCTTCTGTGACTTGCTTTTATCCTATCTTTTAAAAAGGTATATTGATTGTTCATTCACTTACTTTCAAGTTTTTAGGATATTCCATTTTATGACTATACTTTTGACAGATTATTCCCTATTACCATGAATAAAATGTTAGAATGTTATTCAAGATGTCGCCTTGTGCTCATGTGCAACAATATTTCTGGGATGTTCATAAGCAGCAGAATTTTTGGGGTCTTAATGTGTGTACATGACAAGTCTTTCCAGGTAATTCAATCATTTTTCCAAGGTAGATGAGAACCACCTACAAGAATTCCCTCCCTGTCCTTGACAGTCCTTGCTTGTGAGACTCTCACATTTTGGCCAGTCTAGAAGAGTGAAACGTTACCTAGCTGTTGGTTAAATTTGCATTTCTATGATCAGTCATGGGTTTGACCATCTTTTCACGTTTACACATTAATTTTATCTAATCACCTGTGAAATGCCAGTCGGTGTCTTTTGCCCATTTTTCTATTGGATTGTCTTTTGTAAAATCAATTCATATGCATTCATTTTTCTTTGGGGAGCTATTTTCTTTTCAAATAGCAAGGTATACCATTGGTACAGAAAAGTCATTTTACGGGGTTTGTTTTCCTTTTTCTTTTTTTGTTTTTGAGATAAGGTCTCATTGGGTAGCCTAGGCTGGCCTGGAACTTGTAATCCTTTTGTCTTTGCCTACTGAGTGCTGGGATTACAGAAATATATCGCCACACCTGACTAATAAAAGTACTTTTAAAAGAATAATTTTAATTCAAACAATCACCTAAGTTAAAAAAAAAATGCCGATACTCCAGAACCACTCCATTTGTTCCTCCTTTATCACAATCTCCTTCTGCTCAGCAGTAATTACCATTCTGAACTTTATGGTAATTATATTTTTTCATTGCTTTTTTAAAGAACAGTTTACTACCTGGGAATCATCTGAAACAATGCATTTTAATATTGCCTGCTTTTGAATGTTATACAAATGGATTCACACATTCATTTGACTTTGGCTTCTTTAGGTTTGAATTCAGGGCTTTGTGCTTACAAAGCAGGAACACCACTTCAGCCCATGCCTCCAGTCCATTTTGCTCTGCTTATGTTGGAGATAGGGTCTTAGGAAATAGTTGCTTGGGGCTGGACTCGAACCTCATTCCTCCAGATCTCAGTCTCCGAAGTAGCTAGGATCACATGTATGAGTTACCCAGCTTACCTATAGCTTCTTATACTCACCAGTATTTTTGCCAGATTCATGTTGTTTCACACACCTGTAACTTGTAAATTTCTGAGGCTTTATTGTATCGCACTGTCATTGTGGCGCTTCTGTTTGCTTTCTGAGATAGTCTTGCTATTTAGCCTGTGCTGGCCATGAACTTGAGATCCCCCTGCCTCAGCCTCCCAAGTGCTAGAATGATGCTCAGTTTGTAGTAGTTTTGTTGCAGGGTCAGTGTGCCACAAATCATTGAATTACTATACTATTCACGGTCTTGATAGCTTGTTCCCAGTTTCCATCTTTTTTTTCTTTTTTGGCTGTACTGGGGTTTGAACTCAGGGCTTCATGCTTGCTAGGCAGGCACTCTACCACTTGAGCCATTAAGAGCCATTCAGCCAGCCCTCTTTTGTGTTGGGTATTTTTTGAGATAGGGTCTCTCAAACTATTTTCCTGGGTTGACTTTAAACCCCCATCCTCCTGATTTCTGCCTTCTGAGTAGGTAGGATTTCAGGCGTGAGCCACTGGCACTCAGTTTCCAGTTTTCGGTTTTTAAAAACAATACTGCTGAGAACATTCTGTAATGTCTCTCTAAGTAAGATTTTCCTCCAGAAAGAGTACATAGAGGAGTGGAATTGTTAGATCTAAAGTGTTTGTATGTTCAATTGTACTAAATAATCCAAAGCTACTTTCCAAAGCAGATGTACCAGTTTACATTCCCAGTAGGGTATGAGAATTCCCATTAGTTTAGCAACAGTTGCTATTGTCATTGTCAGTTTCTAATTTTTGCCAATATAGTGGGTGTAGTTTGTTTAAAACCAAGGTGATGAATGCCTGTAATTCCAGATATTCAGGAGGCAAAGGTGGAGGATCTCTGAGTTCAAGGCCAGCTCAAAGTTATGGAGACCCTATCTCAAAACAAAAAAAAATACAGGCTGGTGGAGTGGCTCAAGTGGTAGAGTGCCTGCTTAGCAAGCAGAAGGCCCTAGATTCAATTCCCAGTATCAAACAACAACAAAAAAACCACTATGATTTTAATGCCTAATTCTGATTAGTTTATTGGTCTTTTGGACATCATTTTTAAAGCACCTAAGGTCCTGGGCTCAATGTCCAGTACTACAAAAAGTTTTTTTTTTTTTTTAAATCAATATGGCTTTAACGCACTTTCCTGATTAGTAATGACTTTCAGAACCTTGCATGTGTAGCGATCTTTTGGATTTATTTTTAAAGCAATTGTTTGGTTATTTTAACCAGTTCGGTTATCTTTTTCTTTAGCTCTCTTATTAATGATAAGCTTTTAGCTCTTGTTAATTATAAGCCTCACAAATTATCTTCTTCCCTTGTGTGGCTTATTTTTTTTATGGTGTATTTCGAAGGTTTTTCTTTCTCAGTTTTAATCTAATCAAAGGTACATTTTTGTGACTAGTGGTTTTTTACAGCACATATTCCTATCCATAGGTCATGAACATATTCTACTTCGTTATTTTCTTAAAGTTCCTAGTTTTGCTGCTCTCATCAGGTCTCTGATTCACCTGAATTGTGTGCGTGTAGCATGGGAAAAGTGCAATTCCCTTTCTTCCCAGGTATGGATGCTGCATCACCACTCAATGAAAAGGAACCGTCCGACTCCGCCAGCCCAGTGTATCACAAAAAAGAGATCAATATTTTGCTATTGTTTTTGTCGCTTGTAGCGTTCCTAAGCATTCCGTGCTCGTTAAGGTTTTCATCATTACGTATGAAAACGTCACTAAGCTTCTTTCAACAGCCAACACTTCGGAACAACCCACAGCTTGCCACCTAACCGCCGACTGCGCCTCCCTCAGAAGCTCCGCCCCACAGACGCGCACGCCGGCCTTTTCCCGGAGGGCACAACGCGCAGGCGCACCCTGCCCGCGCGCCTGCGCCTGGCGACGCCCCGCCCTCGACCTGCTATAAAGCTTCGCGCTTCTCCTCGCGAGAGACTCCTTGCCCATGCTCGCTGCCGGGGTCGGAGGTCAGGGCGAGCGTCTCGCGGGCCGAAGGAGGAAGATGGCGGTGGAATCGCGCGTTACCCAGGAGGAAATTAAAAAGGAGCCGGAGAAACCAATCGACCGCGAGAAGGTGAGGTCCGGGAAGAGGTGGATCGGCCCGGCAGGGCTGAGACACAGTCTGTGTGCGGGAGGAGGCGGTGTTTTTGCTCCTGGAGTAGCACGGAGGCCGCAACGCCTTCGGAAGGCGCGGGAGCTACGGACTCGCTGCCATGGATTCTGACAGCCGCCCTTCCCTTTCCTATCCCCTAGACGTGCCCGCTGCTGCTGCGAGTCTTCACCACCAATAACGGCCGCCACCACCGAATGGATGAGTTCTCCCGCGGAAACGTGCCTTCCAGCGAGCTGCAAATCTACACTTGGTGCGCGGCGGGGGCGGGGCCGGGCGCAGGGGGCGGGGCCACCGGGCTGCCCGGGTCCGAGAAGCGTTCATCCTCTTCAGGCTGCGTGTCCCTCCTCGGCTCGGGCACCTCAGGCTTGGCCCCAAGAGTTAGAGAAGCGTGGCGGAAGGGCTGGGACCGTCTTGTAACGCATTTGTGGTTAATTAGTGTTGCTCCAGCATTGCCATGGCCGTTATGGCTGCCTGGTGCAAAACGGGTGTGCAGGTCATTGAAAGTGCGGTAGCCGCCGTGAGAGGTCGGTACTCTCACAACATGGCGGCGGGCAGGGATGCTGCTGAGTAGTGGGGATGTAATCCTCAGAGACTTAGATACGGTAGCAGCGAAATAAAAACAAATCACCGCCAAAGCCGGCGATTCCTATTATAGTGCTTAATGGAAAAGTTCTCCGTGTGTGTTCGGTGAGGACTGGTGTCCAGAGCTTTTATCTCGTTATCCCTGCAGTATGTAACTCCTTGGGCCAACACCATATGGCTTTTTAGTAGCAGTAAAAGGTGTGTAATTTTAAAAGTACTTTTTGTTGTGGTAAAATATAAAATAACAGGACATTCGCCACTTGAGCTGTTTTTAAGGATACAATTGGTAACCACTATCTACTTTTAAATCCTTTTCATTCCTCCCCTTCCCCCACCACCGTAGCCTCTAATCTACTTTCTATCTGTATGAATTTGGCTATTCTAGCTATTTCATATAACTGGAGTCATAACTAACACTTCGTCATTTTGTGTCTGGCTTGATGTCTGGTGTGATGTTTTCAGGGTTCATTCATCAGAATTTTCATGCTGAATAATATCCCATTGTATATGTATAGTTTATCTACTCGTCTGTGGGTGGATCTTCTTGTTTCCACACCTCCCCCTGCCCCGTTTTTTTTGCGGGGAGGGGTACTAGGAAGTTGAACTCAGGGTCTCATAATTTGCTAGTAAGGCACTCTACCACTTGACCCATATCCCTAGCTCTTCTTTATTTTTTGGGGGGGAGAGGATCTCAAGTTTATCCTCCTATTTCACTTCCCAAGAAGCTGGGATGACAGCCTGTGCCACTACTCCCAGCTATTGGTTGAGATGGGGTCTCTGCCAAGTTTTTACCCGGACTTCCATACTCCTGCTCTCAGCCTCTACCAGGTGTGAGCTGCTGTACTCAGGCTGTTTACACCTTTTTTTTTTTTTTTTTTGTATTCTGAATAACGCTACAAACATTGGTATATGTGCTTGCGTCCTGTTTTCTGCATATACCTAGGAGTGGATTTTTTAGTTAAATGATAATTTTATGTTTAATTTTTCGAGGTGCCACATGACTTTACAGTCCCCAGAAGTTGTGATGTTTTAAACTGTAAACCCACTTCCTTAGAGCTTGATCTTTTGAAAATTGAGACTTCACCTCTTTTTTTGGAAGTACTTGTTAAATTCGTGCTGTAGTATGATTCTTTTACTTCAGTGTCACTCAAGGGTAGAAGTTCCAGGAAGGCTGGTTTAAGACACAGGGAACTATTTAGTAATGGCTGGATGAAAATCTCTTCAAAGAGTAAATTGCATGTTTTGGACTGGTAGGTATGATTCAAGTGGTAAAGTGCTTGTTTGGCAAGGGCAAGGCTCCAAGTTCAATCTCCAGTACCACCTTCCTCCAAAAATATATTTCTTCCAACAAGTAAGATTGCCAGTTCGCTGGTGCTGTCCTTACACCCTGAGGGTGTAAAGAAAGTACTGCTCCCTATAGTGAACTGGTCTTTAGAGAATCCAAAATCTTGGGATGCTCACGTCCTTTATTAAAGATGACACAGTATTTACAGAGAACCTGTGTACATCCTCTAATATAGTTTAAATCATCTCTAGGTTATTTACAATATTTAGTGCAAAGTAAATAACGTCTAAGCAGTTGCTGTACTGTATTGTTCAAGGACTAATTAGAAGAAAATAAATTACATGTTCACTTAAAGAGGAGGTTTTTTTTTTCCCCCCTGAATATTTTTGATCCATGGTTGGTTGAATTGTGGATGTGGAACCTACAGATATGTGGAGGGCTGACTGTAAAGTAGGCACCCATAACACAAGACAAGGAGAAAGGAGAAACCCAGCAGAGGCAGACTGAATTTGCCTAAGTTCAAGGAGTTGTATAGAGTTTGGGGAATAAGCTAGCCACCATAGAAATGGTATATATCTTGTGCTTAGGAGTCATTAAATAGGTTATTGGAATAGAATTATCAAAGACTCAGTCAGGCAGAAAACAGCCAGTAGCAGAGTGCTATCAAGAGATTTATTTCAAGTAATTGGCTTCCATGATTATGGGAACTGGGCAGACACCCGGTCCCAGATCTTAAGGGCAGGCTCTCCAGTGGAAATGCAGAGCTCTTGAGCATGAGCATAAATTAGCATCATGGCCAGAAGTGTTTCAGGGTAGCTTCAGGTTTTCTCCTGAGGCTTTTCAACTGATTAAATATGGCCCACCAAGGTTATCCTTATCTATGGCAGTCTTTCTAATTTAAAGTCAACTGGTTGTAAACTGAGTAAGGTGACTCGTAACTGTAATCCTAACTATTTGGGTGACTGAGTGCAGGAGGATCACAGTCTCTCAAATAGTTTGAGAGACTCCATCTGTGAAATAACCAGAGCAAAATGGACTGGAGGTATGGCTTAAGTAGTAGAATGTCTGCTTTGCAAATGCAATGCCCTGAGTTCAAACCCCAGGCCACCAAAAACAACAGCAAAAAAAAAAAAAAAAAGCACCAGTTGGTCAGATCTGTAATGCTAACTATCTGGGAAGCTGAGATCAAGAGGATTGCAGTTTTAGACCATTCTGGGTAACAGATAAAAGCTGGGTGTGGTGACAGGCACCTGTTATACCAGCAGTGGCAGGAAGTAGAAGCATAAAATAGGATTGCTGTCCAGATTGACCAGGGCAAAAAGCAAGACCCTATCTCCAAAAGAACTAGAGCAAAAAGTGCTTGGAGGTATGTCTTAGATGGTAGAATACCTGCTTAGGAAGCCTAAAACCCTGAGTGCAAACCCCAGGATCACCAAAATAAAGTCACCTCCAAGACAGCTAAAAAATCAGTTTATGCCACTGGGGACAGAATTTGAATAAATGGTTAATTGTGGTTGCACAGTAAAATACGAACTCTTAGGAAATAAAAATCAGCTGCAGAATTTCTTAAGGAATGGTAACTGTGTGAGTCTTATCTGAAGTTTTGCAACTCCTTCGATTTGATTTTACTTTTTGCTGGGGTAAAGTAAAATTAATTTTTATTAAAAATATGTTTATAGCATGGGTTAGTTTTTTTTAATCATAGTCTCAGCATTATCATATGCTTAGTATCTCAAGTTTTTCTTTAGTACTGTATTATGCTTTTACACAAAGATGTTCACAGTGATGGTAATTTCAGTAGTTGTTTCTTGATTAGTGGGATTTGGGATGCAATTTATTGTATTCTTGCATTTGGCTTTTCCTTTCTCTTTAAATAATGAGGTGTGTTGAGTAGGGAAAGGCAGTTATACACAGCTTCTGCCCCCTTGCTTGGCTGCACAGAATGGCCTTGGGTCTAGAACGTTTCCTTGAAAGAGATGAAGACTTTCCAGCCCATCTTGGGCAGATCTCTGTTTGGAAGTATCTGTTCTGGGATTGTACTTCTTCGTTCTGCTTTTTTAGTGTGTTTCTGTCATATGGCACCTGGCCAGCTTTGCAGCACAGTATCTGTTCTCAGTTGGGAGGGAATGGAGATGGGGCTTTGCCTACAGCATGGGAAGGGTGTATGTATACCAACCATCTCCCTGCTTTGTCTGTGAGGGGTTACCCACTAGCTGTGGGGGACTTTTGTTCATTATAGAAAGGGATTGTACTCTGTGTGAGCAAAGCATTGTCTTGGGTAGGTTGTGTCTCCTGGAGTGTAACATAGACAAGTCACTCAGTAATTTGACAGCCTAGAACTGCTACTTGGCATTAGGCATTGTTACACTGTTGCTATCCTTCATGCCTTGAGACATAGCAGTTTTACATAGAAACATGGAACTGAGGTCGTAGCTCAGTGGTAGGGTGCTTGTGTATTATGCAGGAGCTCCTGGGTTTGATCCACAAAACAAAACCCAGAAACATTTTAAACATTTTAAAAAATGTTTCTGAAGCTGGGCACCAGTGGCTCACGCCTGTAATCCAAGCTACTCAGGAGGCGCAGAGATCAGGAGGATTGCGGTTTGAAGCCAGCCCGGACAAATAGTTTGAGAGACCCTATCTTGGGGAAAAAACCCTTCACAGAAAAGGGCTGGGGAGTGGCTCAAGGTGTAGGCCCTGAGTTCAGACTCCACCACCAAAAAAAAAAAAAACCTAAGATGAGTCGAACACAACATGTAGAGGATTTAATAGTGAGAGGTTGAAATAAAGCAATATTGATCTGTATTTCGGAGGTAGAAACAACAGAAATTTAGGTGTAATAGGTTGGAAATAGGCAGAATTGAACAGCTTCAGGTGGGGAACTAAATGTGTGTGGTGGTTTTGATAGGAATGTCAAGAAAGGCGTGTTAGGAAGAAGACTGTTGCTCTGTCATGGGAATGTTAAAGATTTCAGAGCAGTTAGAAAATGGAAGGTGGCATGGGCATCCTTGATATTTGTTACTCAGTGTAAAGTGACACTATAATGGTTTACTTGAGGATGGTATAGGGGAGATTAGAAGAGTAAGAGGTGAATATACAAGAACTCTTTAAGTTTCATTCTTCCCAAGTGCCCAGTATCCTTGTACCGTTTTTTGGCACTCTTCAGGAAATGCTGCTTTAAGTTTCAAACTTGTCATTTTATTTTTCTACTTGTCATGGAAGAAAACAATATAAAAGTGTGTGTTAGGTTATTTTAAGGTACTTTTAAAGACTTTTCAGTTTGTGCCATATTAGCTCAGGGGATTATATTAAGTTTTGAGTTCAAGTAAACATTTGCAAGGTAAGTATCTATTGTAAAAGAAGCCTGTGATTTGTTCTGAGCTATTTCACATATTTATCATAAGATTGTATCTTAAGAAGAAACATTGCACATCTGTATGAAAATGCTTTTTTAGCAAGCACAGAGATTCTAAGATGCATGCTAATTTTACAGTCTAAAATGTGGAAGAGTACATGTCTTAGAAATAATTAAGTGCAGTTACTTTCTGTGTTTGAGTTAGTTTAGAGAAGTAAATCACTGAGCCACAAGATGTTACATAGCATCAGAAGATATCATAAGGAACCTCTGAAGTCACTTTTAATACTAAGTCTTCAATTCATTGAAATTTTCAACATTGAGACTAAGTACAAGAAATAGAGGCCAGTAGTATTTTTAGCTGCTTTAAAATTAAACTTCACTATAAGACCCTTGCAGTTTCTAATAAAAGCCCAATTTAGGCACACGTAATAACTTGTCAGTATTCTTGTTATTAATGATTAATCAAATTATCTTTTTTAAAAATTCAGGATGGATGCAACCTTAAAAGAACTGACTAGTTTAGTGAAAGAAGTCTACCCAGAAGCTAGAAAGAAGGGCACACACTTCAATTTTGCAATTGTTTTTATGGATCTTAAAAGACCTGGCTATCGGTAGGTGACTTCTCATTTTTAATTTGTGTTTTAGCTTATCAGGAATAATTCTTTTTTTAAAAGGCAGGATCTTGCTATGTAGCCCAGTCTGGCCTGGATCTGAGTTGCTGGATTAGAGTCATGATCCCTTTAAGGAATCTCTTTAGTGGGAGACATGTCTAGGGTCTCAATGTCTAGTTTAGCTTCGTATGATATTTAAATTGTTGAACTCTGATACAAGTTGAGATAAATCTAATCCCGTAATCACATTGTAGTACATAGTCAGTTTTCATTAATGTGTACTTGTGGTCCATTAACAGTTGATTTCCTTTCCTGCAGAGTAAAGGAGATTGGCAGCACCATGTCTGGCAGAAAGGGGACCGACGATTCCATGACCCTTCAGTCACAGAAGTTTCAAATAGGCGATTATTTGGATATAGCGATTACCCCTCCAAATCGGGCACCACCTCCTTCAGGGCGTATGAGACCGTATTAAATTTTGTTTACTCTCTTGAATTTATTTTTCAGCCACTTATGTAAAATAAACTTAGATACATTTTCCTTCCCTGATTTTTGCCATTAAGCCTTTAAATTCTAAACAAATTGTAATGCATTTATTTAGGAGTTAGATTTGGATGTACTATGGTATGTTAATAGAAAGTCCTCATGTTCCAAGCCCTTCTGTAAAATATGAAGTGCCCTTAGCGTTTTGTGTAAAATTGTATTGTGAAATATATGTGTGCAATCAGCCTGAGTGTGAAAGTTAATAGAAGCATGGGAACAGGGTTTCATCTCATGTTTGGGGTTTATACTAAGTGATGGAGAAAGGTATTTTTAGCTTCAGAGAGGCAGAGCAAGAAAGCCATGGGCCTGAAATAGTGCATGAGTTTGTGGTATAGACTGTGGTATGTGTTTAGGAGAGGGGCCTGTGTGAATGAGGCAGCAGTTTTTTGGAATAGTGTAAGGCTAAGGCAAAAGCAGCTCTGTCAGAAGAGGCTGGCCTGCCTAGATCAGGGTGTGGTGACACAAGGTTAGAGAAAACAGGTGCCACAGTGAGCACTTTTTGTCTTAAAAACAGGGGCAGGAAGATAAGGTATTTTTGAAGGCAGAAACCAGTACAGAGAAAACAAGTCAGAACTTAGGGTAAAGGTGGAAAGGTTTACCTTGAAGATCTGAAAATGGAGGGAAGGAAGAGGAATCTTGCATAGCTTGTGTATGCTAGGGACTGGTGCGTACTTCAGTTAGAGGCAGTGTAGCAGTGTTCAAGACCAGCATGGCAAAATATTTAAGTCCTGTCTGCACCAGCAGTTCTGCAGTCTTGGACAAATTACTAGAATCAAGTCGTCTTTGTCTTATGGTTAGGATTGTGAAAGTTAAATATTTGTAAAGGATTTAGAATAGTGCCTGACAGATAAAAAAGAAGACACACTTGTTAGTGGCCACAGGTGGAGATTAGTCAGAACTGGAACCCTGTCTTCATGATATTATTAGAATCTCATTTTGAAATCTAAATATGGCAATATGTAGTAAGCCTCATTACTTTTAGACTGAGCTGAAAACTGAAAATATATCCTGAAACGAGAAAATACATACTGGTGATTCTCAAAGTAAAATGCCATGAATATAGTCTTATGCATAAAGAAATGGCCATAAAAATCTGATGACTTGTGGGATTGGTGTCCCTGTTACAGTTGACTGACGGTGGCAAAGACCAGCTTGGAAGCAGATCTAGTGGCTCTTGGCTGCAGTTCACCCCAAGTCCTTAGATGTTTACTCATTCAGGCTAGCTGGGCATAAGTTCCTACTTACTTGGACAATAGCCATGATTATTTTCCTGTTTTTGGTGGAAAAAAGATTTTATGTCCTATGTAGACAATGAGGATGGAACGAAGTAAAAGCCATTTTTCCATATGCCGTGAACTCTCACAGAACTCTCCTGTAATTCCAGTTGTTATACTAGTTTAGAGTGGCTTGGTTGGTTTTGCTCAATTCCCCCCTTTGCTTGATTCCACTGTGGAATTTTTTCTTTAAAGATTTCAGTCTTCTACCAAAAGCAGAAACATTATCTAATGAATTTGTTACTGATAATGCTGAGTCAAGACTTGCACTTAGTCCTTCTAGCTTTGGTAACAAAGTATATGGCTTTGAGCAGTTTCCTCAAACATAAATGCTCACCATGTCAGCATCTTGCTCAGTGCTTTGGCGTCTGTCCTCACTGCCTCACTGGCACAAAGGTGTTCTGGAGTAGAAATTTTCCCGCTGGAGTATGAGTCATAGTGACACTGCCTGTGTCTTCAGTTTTCTCACAATACATAACTGGACCGTTACACTCTAGTCATTGACTCCAGTAATGTTTCAGGTATCAGTTGGGTGTATGTGCATGTGCCTGCACATGTGTGTTCAGGGGCAGGTATGAGTGGGGGAAGGAAAATTGTCAGGCCAGGTTTAAAATTATTTTATTCTGTAATAAAGAGCTGGACTTACTCTACCTTTTTCTGTCGAATCAAACACAAATTCCAAATGTGTTTTTTGTGAAGACAGTATGCTAAAGCCAAACTTCCCAGGATTGTGATTTAAAGTGCTTAGCTATGGCCACATGCTGTGCTAGGAGCCATTTTACCATGTTACCTCTCTTCACCACATGCGCTGACTGGCTCCATCAGCTATAAGATGTAGCCAACAACAGTTCAAGTACATGATTCGTAGTGTATTTCATCTGTTCACTGTGGTCTGCCTCTACGCATGCTACTGACTGCCCCTGTAGTGGATTATAAATTCACCCCAGTAACAAAACTGCCAAAACAGTCATCTAGAGTAACTGGATCACCTTTATTAGTTTTTTTTTTCCCTTGATGGGACTAGGGTTTAATCTTGGCTTCGCACTTGCAAAGCAGGTGCTGTACTACTTGAGCCACCCCTCCAATCCATCTTGCTCTGAGGTCTCACATACTATTCCCCCGGGCTCAAACCTTGATCTTTGGGCCTCCGGATCTCAGCCTCCCAAGTAGCTAAGGTTATAGGCATGAGCTACGGGTACAAGCTACTCAGTTCTTGTAGATAAAGAACACCTATCTTTTAAAATGTATGTGGCTATGGTTTCTAGTTTGTGGTAAGGGCAGCTGAGGACATTTCGTTTGTCTTACAGTTTAGACACAGGTTTGATACCAGCTCTAATTTCCTGGAGTAATCAAACAAGTTTACATGATTTTATTGTGTTAGAAAAAAAATAAATCATGACTGGCAACATTCTGTAAAGACAACATCATGTGCCCCGCCCCCCCTTCACCAAACTCCTAAGGGCCCTAAGCTAAAACCAAACTTTCTTGGTGGTTTTGAACTCGGGGCTTTGCGCTTGCAAAGCAGGTGCTCTACCGGTTGAGCCACATCTCCAGTCTGTTTCGCTTTGGTTATTTTGGAGATGGGGGTCTCATGAACCATTTGCACAGGCCGGCCTCAAATCTCAGTCTTCCCAATCTCAGCCTCCCAAATAGCTAGGATTATAGATGTGAACCACCAGCACTGGCTCTTAAATGGAATTTTAACACTGAATACTATATTAAAAAGTGATTTATTAAGCAAAAATCCTTAGCCTGGGAATGTTATGCAGAATATGGTAGAATGGTGTTGGGATACCTCGTAAGCCTGGGGAGGAACCAGTAAAACAGTACTTAGAGGACAACCTGGTGGACAGTGAATGTTCAAAAAATGTCAGTTTTTTCCAAAGGGATTCTCTCCCTCTACTTTGTACCTTAGGCTAGGCTGTTTTAAGATTTTTCAACCCTATCCAGTTGGTTGTAATTTCACGTACAAGATTTGCTAAAAATTAAGGCAGTTTTTGTGTTTTTTGAGACAGGGTCTTGTTATGCAGCCTTTGATGTCCTCAAACTCATGATCTTTGTGGCTCAGCCTCCCAAGTGCTATGATTACAGCATATACTACCATGCCTGGCTAAAGAAACTTAAACTAGGAATGAGGTAAGCCTCCAGAGAGATTTTTCAAATTTTGAGTAAATTCTAAAAATAGTAACAATTGGAAACTGGCAAAAAAAACCTTGCAGCATTTATTCCTGACTCCCCTCATACTTTGCAGTAGTTACAACAGGTGCTGTGGGCCCAGCAGTACAGACATCAGACAGATACAAATCCTGAGATGTTAGTTATGATAAAAAGTGGTGAGTGTCATGAGAAGACAAATTGCTGCACAGTACAGTATTATCTAGCAGGACAATGAAAAGGTCTGAAGGTGGCATTTGAGCTTGTCTAGCTTCTAAGAGTTGTGGACTCAAGCTTGATGAAGGAGACAGTATGAACAGGAGGAAATCACAACTCTGTTTTTCTTTTACACTGCGAGGGCTCAAACTCAGGGCCTTGTGCATGCTAAGCAAGTGCTCCACCACTGAGCTTTGGTCCAGTCCCCCCACACTTATGTACTGATGGCAGGCGCTGAGGATAGTAGGAATAGGATTACTGTGTTGCTGCAGTAATCTTGGTGTGGCTGGGGTAGCATCAGTAGAGCTTGGTGAACAGGACTTGGATGGGGAATGGTTTTCCTCATCTGAAAACCAGGTGTCTACCTCAAGTCGTAAATAACCATGTCTGACATAGTAAAATCTCAATCAGGTGGTGTTGACACTAATTCAATGACCATGCTGTGTACCAGGTTAATGAACATAGCAAGCACACAAGGCCATCATTGAACTTGTTTCCCCATCAGGGAGGTGAACATTAAAATACATGTATATCCAAATATTTTATTACATACTCTGCCAAAGTGTGCCAGATGAGAACAGGGTACTGAGAAGGAACTAGGTTGGCAGGATAGTGAAGTCTTTGCTGAAATGACATTTAATCTGAGTCCTAAAGCATGTCAACCAGTACTGATACATTGTGAAACAGTTGGTGGGGGTCAGCTAGGCCATGTTCTGGCCCGGGAAGCCATGTGACGTATCTTGATTGTGTCTGCAGAACAGTAGGAGAAACACTTGAGAAGACCCCAGTATTTGAAGTTTGGAAAGCTGGCTAAGTAACAGAGGCTTGGATCATAGGAGGAAGGGATTAAGGGTTAGGGAAAGAGAAATTTTGGACAACCTGAATTTGAGGGGCCAGAGCCATCACAACAAATGGAGCTCTTCTGCAGGCAAACAAACGCCTGTGTAAGTGCCAATCTTTAAAAAACCTTCCTGCTCCATATTCACCTGTTTTATTAACCCCCTGAGCAAAACTCAAAGCTGTCAAAGCCATTGTCTACTACTCAGCCCATTCTAGACTTGTCTTTTATACCACAAAACTCAGTCAGTGTTGGGCTGGTGGAATGGTTTAAGTGTTAACAGCACCTGCCTAACAAGCCCTGACTTCAAACCCCAGTACCTCCAAAAGGAAGAAGGAAAAATCAGTGTTGTCAACATCAGTTTTGCCAAATCTGTCCATCAAAACTTGCTCCCCAGGGCTGGCAGAGGGGCTCAAGCGGTAGAGTGCCTGCCTAACAAGTCCCTGAGTTCAAGCCCCAGTGCTGCCAAAACAAACAAACTTGCTCCTCTATTTGAACTCTGCATGGAAAACAAATGATCACGCTGCCCGAAGTCCTCCTTTCCTACTTCACTGCCTCTTTCCACTCTAATGTCTACTCTCCCTTCTTGTTCTGTGGACTGACATATGGCAAGCAGTGAAAGAAAGGTTGATAGAAATTTCAGTCACAAGGCAGACTAGAGCTTTCCCTTGAAAAACTAAAAGCCCTGAAAGTAATTCATATTACATAATATAAAAATTATGCTTAAAATTAAACAGTAATTCTACCATTTGGTTTTCAAAGCACAATTACATAATAAAAGGGCAGTCTTTACCACATAAGTTTCCTAACGCTAAACTTCAGACAATTATTTTCCAGTTCTTAAATGAGAAGGATCTGAGCTCAGTGGACAGGTGGTTCTAGAGGCTCCTGAGGCCCCAGCTAACACACACAGGAGGGCCCCTGGCCCAGGGAGTGTAGTCAGAATATTCCAGCGAGTGAGGCTCAAGATCTGTTGGGTGGCAAAGCTTGAGAGGTTAGCAGCCCGGTGGAGCCATGTGTGAGAATGGTCAGCACACAGTGAAAAGCTGGAAGAGAAGACAAACACAACCTGACAACCAGCAGTGAGTCCCTCATTCCAACTGTCTGATAACCTCCCTCCACCTCCATTGGTTTCAGTGCAGTTACCTATGCTAGTAAGTTTCTTTCCCTACGTTAGTTTGAAGCTGTGTCTCTGTAGTTTGGAAAGGGCAGTAATACTTTCTTTTTGTTTTATAGTAGTGTAGATCAAACCCAGGGCCTCTTGCATGCTTGAGCCACACCCATAACACTCTTGGTTTTTTTCATATTTTGTTTCTGAGATAGGGTCTCGCTAACTTTGGGCTGGCCTTGAACCTCAGTAGGTGTGGTTACAGGTGACTGTAGTCTTAAAAGGGCACTGATGAAATAAAAGATGTAAAAAACTTTAAGACATGAGAAGAGACAGAATGGCAGAGCTAGCAGATAGCAACAACCACCTGACCAGAAGATCAGGGAGGCCTAATCAAAATAGCACAAAGGGGTAGGGTGTGTCTCAAGTGGTAGTGTTTCTGCCTAGCAAGAGCAAGACCCTGAGTTCAAACCCAGTACCACCAAAATTTCTCAAAGTGGCAAACTGTGTGTGTGTGTGTGTGTTATTAGGGTTTGAAATTGGCTAGTCAAATGTGTTGCCACAGGTGCCACACCACCAACCTGTAGTATCTACACTTTTAAAAATTATTTGTCCTAATTCCTGACATTATTTAAACCATTCTGTTATATTAAGCAGGGTAACAACGTTAATGGGAAGATAATAATCTTCAAAAACTTCAAGACTGAACTACATGTCAACAAGACTGAAGTTAAACCAAATCAAAACTCATAAAAAGGTGCTATGACATCAATGTCCATGTCCCTGTTGAAAATGGATTGCCTTCTTAAAGGAGAATGCGATTAAGTCCAGCTCTGCTTCCATTTCGTTCTGTTCAGTTTCTGCAATGGATGGATCTAGTACTCTTACTGCAAACAAGATACAAATAAAAAATGTCAAGGATAAATAAAAACCATCAACAAAATGACAACACTGTGACTATATATTTTACACTTACAAAAAGTTGGAAATAGATTCCCACTGAAGCCATCTAACTTGATATTTTTTGGGAATTTAAGCTTCAAGACCCCAAGATCTATATCAAAGGTAGTAAAAGGCTGTTTTAAGTTGGCAAATGTCAATTAAAAACAAATTTCACTACCATTTCAATTACTTTTCAAATGTCATCCTCCTCAACTAACACCTATACTTTCTTAGCCTGGTATCCTACTCACTTTCACCAGTTTTCCTTGTTGGCAACATCTCGGATGCTCTGTCCTTCATGTCTGAGGAACCCTTTCCTGGAAGGAACTGCTTTAACTGCTATTGGCATAGCGAGGTTGGAGTTGTATTTTGGTAAAATCTAAAACAAAGCAAATTCATTTTTATCAAGTCAAATGAATGTCATAACGTGAAAGGTTTAGAAACGAGTGATGGAAAATTTAAGGTTGTTTAAAACACTAAGAATTGCTTTAGTGGTGCATAGATACTCAGCAGCAATAAAAAGGTGTAGCAGTTTAAATTGCATGTGAAGGTTTGATTTCTAAAGCCTTCTAAAATATGTTAACTGTATGGAAACAAGTAGCAACAGTCCTGAGAACATATTATTTACAGATGTTACAGAAAATATACTAGGAAAACCACGAAGTGCTCAAAACAAAAATCATAGGTTATAAACAGTATAAAAGTAGAATCTGAAATATTAGGAATATTTTTTCCATGCATAAAAAAGGTTTCCTTGAGACTTAGAATGTAGTTCAGTGGTAGGGCACTCCTCTGGCATACATAAGGCCCTGGGTTCTACCCTTACAACTGGGGAAAGGGAAGAAAAACAAAACAAAACAAAAGACAAGGTTTCCTTCCTTGGAAAGGAGAATGAGAAAGCGATTGACCATGGTGAAGACAACTCTACATAAAAATGTCTGTACAGACAGATGTTCCTCCTCTCTCAATTGATTTTATCTCTCAGGATAGCAGAAAAGACAAGTATCTTAGGATATTTATTGATGTCTAAGGATGAGTCCTATTGGCATTACAGGTATTTCCCCAAGTGGTTTATCTTTCTTTTGGCTCTCCATAAGCCAAGAACATTTCTAGAATGTGTACCTACGCAATAACTGGCAAACACTAACTTCAATCACAGAGTCAAAGAATCAGAGTAGTAATTTAGTAGAGTGTACCACTCAGTAGTACACTAGTGGTAAATGATGTTATACTAAAGAATCAGATACTCTTACATAAGTAAATCAGTGTTCTTAACTGAGGTCCAAGAAGACTCAAGTTCAAGAAAAACTGATAGAAGTTATTAATGATACCCTACTCTGCAGAATTTTAGGGTAAATGACGTTTTTGGTTTCCGATGGAACAATAGTCAACATGGCAACCACAGATGGACAATGACTGGAAATAAGAATACATTTCAGAACGTGGAGTTAAAGAGAAAATGCAAATTTAGGGTGATAGGGACTTAGGATAATATCACCAAATATTTGAGAAGTTGTTAGCTAGTGATCAGTTCAGGACAGCCTCAGCTGCATGGCTTTGGAAGGGTGCAACAGTCTAGAGCTTAGATTTTCTCAATACCAAAACAAGCACGTTATTCTGATGATAAGTAAGACAGTAAGAATACTAAAAATAAAACAGCCTGGAAAAATGACCTGGAGTATGTCTTCTGGAATTACTGTTACTTCTGGAGGTGTAGGTGTTCTGAGCAGATCTTCATAAGAAGAAATTGTAGGAGAAGAAGGATCTGTAAAATTCTCAAAGCACTCATCTGAACTTAAAACTAACGAAGTACAATCTTTAACTTCCAAATCACTTGCTGAAATATTTGTTTCTGATAATGGAAAATTTGTGGATACCTACAGAATAAAAAGATATGGTTGAATTATGGTGGTAAATAATATCAAGGAAAAATTGTTAGTTCTGTGGGAGTGTGTAAGCCCCAAATAACTCCTACTTCCTTGACCAAATTCTAAACAAAATCAAGAAAAAGAAATGTTACATGGAGGACAAAGCACATGTTCATTACTAACAGCTGGGTGTGAGAAAATAGAACGCTGACTAAACCCCAGCTTTTGGTGGACTACCCACCCATCTCAGCAACACTAGGCTGGGTCAGATGAGAGCATGGACGAGCAAAGTGTCTCCACGTGTCCTCCACAGGCAGACCCACTCTCAAGAGGAAGAGAGCCCATGTGAGGTAAGCTTAGCACACGGCTCACTCATGCCAAGTTGACTGCTTGGGTAAGTCACTCTGTCTCCTGAGGTCAGAGTTAATAAAAATAGATATGGGCTAGGGTGCCACATCAGTAGGGTGTCTTCCACATGAACAGACTCATAAAGGAAGTTAACTGCAAATGGAAGTACTGGCAAGTGGATAGCGTCATACTGCAATTGATAACAAGGCAGTGTCTGTCTACAGCTGCAACTGTCAAACATACTAGCCACAAGGCACATGAGGCTATTCAAACTTAAACAAAAATTTAAGAAATTAAAAATTAGTTCCTTAGATGTACTAGCCTCATCTTGATGCTCAATAAACACATGTAGTGGTTACCATACTGAGCACTGCAGACTAAAGGACATTTTCATTACAGACAGTTCTATTGGACACCCCAATACAGTACTGGTTTAAGTGTTCATCCTGATTCTAAAGAGTGATAATGGTTTTGATGTTAAATTTGTTAACCAGAAAAATTTGGAAGGAAGGAAAAAGGTATTGAGTTGCCCATAAATCTGTCACCCAGCTTCTTTTTTCTTAAAATAGACGTGTATGTATAAGTACGTGTGTGTACTTAATTTTTCATAATTACAAATTTCTTGAGAACATTTTTTGTCTGCTCTCATCTGTTTTTGAAAACATGGCAGTTACATAACACCAGAATTCTGGATATGCCGTGCTGCATCCTGTTTCTTTCCCTCTGGTATTTACATGTCTCCAGTGTTTTCATGGTTCTCCTTGTGAATTGTTTTAAAGCCCTCTCCCAATTTACCTTGAACAGACTTTGATATGGTTAAGGGCTATGAAAAAAATTTAAAGCTCTTGACCTATGGTGCTAAATTGCCTTCCAGAAATGTGTTGTAAATACACTCCTCAGAGCTAATTTATCTAAGTTTTTTTAGGCAAGACTGTGTGAGTCTAGAAGTAGTGGTGTATCTGAGTCACAAGGAGAAAGATTAGAGCGAACTTTACCAAAGCTGTGCTGTTCTTTGTAGAAGGAATTTTCAAACCAGGAGTGCAGAATGTAGGTGCCAAGGGGGACTTTGTATACTCGGCATCTAGAATATGTAAAATGGGTATGAAAATAATGATCAGAAAATAAAGCTATAAACACTGTCAATATATATGTGTACTTTATTATTAATAACTTAAAAATATGGCTACAGTGTATGCTTGACTAGACAGGAAAAACAAAACTGTCACACTCACAGATGTAATGTACTTAGCATTAGCCTTAGTAAAAGTTCAGTGAGGTTGCAGTATTACAAGAGTAGTATATAATAATGACTGTAATTAATACAATACGTAACAGATTTAAGAGCAAAAAACTCTCAAAAATTATAGTTTGAAAAAAATTTTCCACAGTAGCAACACAGAAAACATACCTACAAATAAATATTAAAACATGTAGGACCTTCATGGAGAAAATAATCCAACTTCTGATTAAGAAAAAAGAGCAGAAGGAGGTCATTTACCTTCCAAGATCCTTCCAAGATACCACAGTTTGCTCTAAAGCTACAGTAATTAAAAGCAATGGAGCATGAACCAGGATGGGAAGACTACCTAAACACACAGTATCAGCAAAGCAGTCTTTACGGTATCAAAGAGAAAAGTATGTTAGAAAGGCAATGTGACTGGCAAAGTATTTTAAGTCTTAATCACCAAGTGCTGCAAAAGAGGAGGCAAACACTGCTGTAGACAGCATGATCAGAATATTCGCTCCTGGCAGCACTCTGGCATTTTCTAGAACAAGATGTGCACATCATATGACTCAGGATTCTGTGTGTAGATGTTAAGAAATATACATCTGCATAAGAGGACAATTCCTGCAATAATAAAAAATAACAACATCCCTGTTAGTGAACAAGTAAGTGACACATGCTTGTTTACACAATGAAATACCACTTACTATTAAAAAGGATAAAGTGGATTTACATGGATAAACATGAAAAGCAAACGTGGATAAAAAAAGCAAGTGACAAAAGAACTCTTTTGTTAAGAAAAACTGAAGTAAATGCAGAAAGATATTCACATCTATTTATATATAACTAAACACATCTAGGATCTTAAGATGGGCAGAGAGAGGAGCGAAGGTCCAAGCTCTAAATGTGTAGGGCACTGAAATACAGCCTGACACATAAAGTTGAAAGCCGTGGAAAGCTTCAGGTCTGTGATCCACGGAGTAGAAGTCGCTATTTGCTGGCACTGGCTCCATGGGAACAGGATGAAAGCCAGACATGCTGAAGGTAAAAGTCCATACAGGGTGGAGTTGTGATTCCTGAGTTAGCCCTGCGTGTCCAGCACAGATCTCCTGAGCCAAGCAGTTTGCTGAAAAACTTTGCAACTGGCAAGTCCCACAGGGACAGGCATAAAAAAAAAAGTTCCACAGTGGCTGCATGGCAATTCAGGACACAGAATCCCACCAAAACAGCTTCTGAAGATGAGGCCACAGTGAAAAATTAAAATCAGGTGAGGAACCAAACCACCAAGAGAGTGAGTCAGCTCAATAAGCGAGAGAACCAACCTTAGTGCCTTGCAGACACGTGTGTAGGACTGGGGGCGTGCCTCAAGAGCACACTTGCCCAGCAGTTGCAAGCCCCAGTACCACAGAAAACAAGCAAACCTCGAGCAACAAACAAAAAGATAAATGAAGGCACACAAATCATAAGGCAAGGTAACAACAGTCTGCAAGGAAAGGAACAAATGGGTTCCCACACCTGACAGCTCTTCAGGCTCTCCACTATAATTCTCCATATGCTTGAAAGAAAAAGCTCAGACAAGTAAGAAATGTAGTCCCTGGAGGAAAAATTCAGTAATTTAGACTTAGTGTAGGAGAGAAATAGTAAAATGGAAGAGGTCAATGAAGCACAAGTGCTGGGGTCACAGGCAGATGCCGCCCTGCGTAGTGAATGAATATGTATGTTTTAAGCTGGGTGCTGGTGACTCAAGCTTGCAATCCTAGCTACAGAGGAAGCAGAGAGCTCAGGAGGCAAATAGTTCGTCAGACCCTATATCGAAAATACCAAATACAAAAAAAAGCCACTTGAGTGGCTCAAGTGGTAGGTGCGCCTGACTAGCAAGCATGAGACCCGGAGCTCAAACCCCAGTACCGCCAAAAAAAAAAAAAAAAAAGAAAAAAAATTAGAAACAACAACAAAAACAAAGCTGACAAATACTGAACATGACCAGAAAAAAGTACTGAAAACATGTCAGAACCTTTTATCTTTCTCTTAGATGAAGTCATGCTTCTGAACCTGAAAGGAATGGGACTTAACAAAATTAAAAAGTTGAAGGAAACTATGAAGATTATCTAAGATGATGAAACCATTTTTGTACAAAGGTGGTCTGGAGAGTAGAGCTGAGAAGATGATTTTTAGACTTACCGCTTTTATCCAGTTGCTGGATTACCGGGCCAGGAGTGGCAAAAACGTTATCATTGGTGATGGGTTTTGTTCCTGTGGTCTCCTCACTGGGATGATTCATAGGGAAATTATAAAGTTAAAGAAAGAGTTAATATTAAACCTCTAGGGGCCAGGCACTGGTGGCTCACACCTGTAATCCTCGCTACTCAGGAGGCAGCGGTCAGAAGGATTATGGTTTGAAGTCAGCCCGGGCAAGTAGTTCCTGAGACCCTATGTCAAAAAACCCATCACAAAAAAGGGCTGGTGGAGTGGCTCAAAGTGTAGGCCCCGAGTTCAATCCCCAGTACCACAAATAAACATAAATAAACAAACAAACCTCTTGGAAAAACTTAATCTTACTGTATGCCATTAAACCTGGACTAGTTCAATTCTGTTCTATGGAATAAAAGGTCCATGGAACAAATCCCAGTTCCTCCCTTCCTTTTTTGGTGGTGGTACTAGGGTTTGAACTTAGAACTCTGAACTTGCTAGGCAGGTGTTCTACCTCTTAAGCCATGTTCCCAGTGCATTTTTCATTCGTTATTTTTCAAACAGTCAAGCATTCATGCCTGGGCCAGTCTGGCCCAGGATCCTCCTATTTATGCTTTCCACGTAGCAGGTATGACAAGCACATGCCACCATATCAGCTCTTATTGGTTGGGATGGGGCTGACTGAGCTTTTGTCCATGCTGGCCTCAAACTTCAACCCTTAGGACACCTGCCTCCTAAGTAGCTGAGACTACAAACCTGACTCGCCATGGCCAACAAGTCCTTCTTAAAGTCCCGATCTCTCTCTCTCTCTCTCTCTCTCTCTATCCATAAAGAGGTTAAGAATCATTTTCTACTGATAGTCTTGAAATGGGTTAAGAACCTCTGACTTAAGGAAAATCCTAAGTCCAACTCAGTAGTTCAAATATAGGAACTGTATAGCTCATGGCTTCAAAATCATGAAGTTAGAGCTTACAACCAATATACAGGTATAGATTAAGATGTCATTTCTTTTAAGAATAAAAAGACTGATCCTGTCATGTTATTAAAATTAATCTAGTCAGTTACACATCTGAAACAGTTGTAAGACTGAACACTGTACACTTAGAAGTTTCCAGTTTTGAACCTATGTACATACACAATACATATTTCTTCGTGCCATACTCTTGTTAATAAAGTAAATACAAGCTTGTACTACTTTAATGGACAAAACTGTCTCATTCATATTTCTAGACAAGTGCTCTACCACTGTGCTCCGTGCCTAGCCCTGTCATACATACTTATGTGAGCTCTCTTAGTCCTGCCCGCTGCCAAGCTAGTTTTTGCAGTGTCAGCAGTTACTTGTATATGTATGACAGCTGCTTAAGGGCATGTCATTTGTTGTAGTATTCACTAGGTTTCTTTTTTATCGTTTATATACTTCTGTTCCATTTGATATTACTAAATGGAATAATCAAATATTGTTAAGATATCTAATCAGGTCAAATTAATTTATAGGTTTCTTGCAATTACAAACAGATGTATTAGTATTCCAGTGTATTTTTTCCACTGTTTAAATATTTAATTTTGAGCCAGGCACCGGTGGCTCACACCTGTAATCCTAGCTACTCAGGAGGCACAGATCAGGAGGATCAAAGTTTGAAGCCAGTCCAGACAAATAGTGAGACACTATCTCGAAAATATTCAGCACAAAATAGGGCTGGCGCAGTGGCTCAAGTGGCAGAGCACCTGCATAGCAAGCATGAGGCCCTGAGTTCAAACCCCATACCTCCCAAAAAAACAAACAAAAAAACCCTTCAGAAGCACACAAGAAGGCTGAGGTAAGAGGATCAAGAATTCAAGTTCAGCCTGACCTATACAGAGTTTGAGGACAGGTTCAGTTCTATAGCAAAACCCTGTCTCAAAAACCACAGTTGTTTCTGGGTGATCGGGTACCAGTATGTTTACTTACTGAAGCTTTAGGTATTTTAATACCCAGTAGGTTAAGCCCTCATTTCTGTTCTTTTTCATTATTTTCTTAGCTATTCTGACTTTCTATTCTCCCAAACACATCTTAGAACCTTTGTGTTAAATACCCCTTTCTGTACCTTAGAAAACAATCTCATGGAAGCTTTGTGATTATGGCAGGCATAAATTAATCTGCTAATTAAACATTTTAACACTATTCTTCTTAGGAACTGGATGACTCTCTTTGTCCTAATCCTCCTGCATGTAATTCAATAGTGTTTTATAGGCCTCATTACCTACAACTAGCATTGACATTTGGCTTTTCTTCTTGCAAATGTGAATGTATTTTTCCACTACATCCACCAACTAATTATTAGTGAAATATAGGAAGCGTATTGTTTTTAGCTATCTTATATAACTATATAAAACACATCATATATCATCTTCTTTCTTGAACTTTATTATTTTGAGAAGTTTCATATTTCTTTTTCTTGAATTGTCTAGGTGAGAACCCGGCCTAGAAGTTGGAAAAAAGATGCCAGCCTAGAGATACACCTCAGAAATACTTACTCCTACTTCCTACCTCATTCATGTTACCTAGGGTGTAAGAATGCTGGTATATAGTGACAGCTGCACTATTGAGTTAGGTAACATTGTCATGTTGAAAGCTCCTACTTAAGAGTCTGAGCAAACATTCTAAATGAAGAGCAGCTGCCAAGTTTTATCAAATTCCCCAGTATCTATTAAAGATTATCCCACCTTTTTTTCCTTATTGTAGCATCACATTATGAGTTCCTAAACATTAAACTGTACTTGCATAGTTTAGAAAGCTTAATGCAATATAACTCCATTGTATTTCCAATATTTTGTTAAACTCAATTTTGAATATTTTAATTAGGATTGTTATATATGTATAAATTAGACTGGGTCATAGTGTATCAACATCCAAATTAGGGGCCTGGCTCACGGGGTAGAGCACTTGCCTAGCATGTATAACACTCTGGGTACAGTCCCCAGTAATGTGAAAAAAAGGAAAATGAAGTTATATCAATGTCATTAAATAAACTGAAGAATTTTCTTTTTCTAGTTTTTGAGGCTAGAATTGGCCTGTGGCTATAGTTTATAATGACAGTTCATTTTGCTATATTATTCTTATTTCATCATTTTCATAATTTCTTTTTTACAGTACTGGGGATTGAACTCAGGGCCTTGAACTTGTCAGGCAAGCACTTCACCACTTGAGCCACATCCTCAGTCCTATTTCGTTCTCTTTTTTTTTTTCTTTTTGGTGGTACTGTAGTTTGAACTCAGGGTCCCATGCTTGCTAGGCAGAAACTCTACCACTTGAGCCACCAGCCCTTTTTGGTGTTGGGTAACTTTTTTTTGAGATAACGTCTTGCTTTTTGCCCAGGCTGGACTTGAACTGTAGTTCTCCTGATCTCTGCTTCCCAAGTAGTTATGGTCACAGGTGTGCCCCACTGGCACCTGGCCTGTATGCCAGTCTGAAAGCCATGTATCAATCTCAGTTCCGTATCTCTTATTAACTGTATGTGGTCAACAGGATCACATATTAGTGAGGATGAGAACCAGGAAGGCCCTGAGGTTGGCTGCCAGCACCTGCATTAGAATTTATATATCCCTAGAAAAACAGCTTTTCATGTGAGACAGGACTTACAGGGACTACGAGGTTATGAAAGGATTCATCAGAAAATTATTGTGTGCAGAGCTTTTTTTTTCTTTCTAGCAGTTCTGGGGTTTGAACTCAGGGCCTCATGCTTGCTAGGCAGGTGCTCTGCCACTCAAACTATACTGTTTGTGCTTTATTTTTGAGATAGGGTCTCACTTATGCCAGGGCTGGCCTGTACCACCATCCTCCCAGTCAGGCTTCCATGCTGTTGGGATGACATGCACACACCACCACACCCAGCCATTGGCTGAGATGGGGTCTTGCAAACTTTTACTGCCCCTGGCTGCAAAGAGCCTTCTAGAGCTATTTCTCTGTTAATGTTTATCCTTTTCTTCTGATTATCCAGGTTTTCTACTTCAGGTCCATTTCAATCATTTTGTATTGTTTCAAACACTTTTACTTATTTGAAAATTTTGTTTGTTTTGAGAGACTGTCTCTTACTATGTAACTCAGGCTGGCTTTGAATTCCAAATCTTCCTGCTGGGATTACAGGTATGCAGCACCATGCCCAACTATCTGAAAATCTGTATTTTCTTATACCTTAACGACAACAACAAAAAAGTAACCAATAGTTCCTAATTTTGTCATTTGCATTTATATTTATTTATTTATTTTTAAGTAAAATATAATTTTTCTTTTCTTTTTTTTTTCTTTTATTATTCATATGTGCATACAAGGCTTGGGTCATTTCACCCCCCTGCCCCCACCCTCCTCCCTTACCACCCACTCCGCCCCCTCCCTCTCCCCTCCACCCCCTCAATACCCAGCAGAAACTATTTTGCCCTTATTTTTGATTTTGTTGAAGAGAGAGTATAAGCAATAATAGGAAGGAACAAGGGTTTCTGCTGGTTGAGATAAGGATAGCTATACAGGGCATTGACTCACATTGATTTCCTGTGCGTGGGTGTTACCTTCTAGGTTAATTCTTTTTGATCTAACCTTTTCTCTAGTACCTGTTCCCCTTTTCCTATTGGCCTCAGTTGCTTTTAAGGTATCTGCTTTAGTTTCTCTGCGTTAAGGGCAACAAATGCTAGCTAATTTTTTAGGTGTCTTACCTATCCTCACCCCTCCCTTGTGTGCTCTCGCTTTTATCATGGGCTCATAGTCCAATCCCATTGTTGTGTTTGCATTTATATTTAAATAAGAACCAGTTCTTCAATTTATCAGTTCTACTCTTCTAAAAATCTTTTATAGTGACATTTTGTTCTTTTTGGTGTTTCTTGTCCCTTCTTTCTCCCAAATGTTTTTTCTGACTCTTTGACTTGAATGTTTACTTTCCTTCTTTAGTGATAGCAGTAGTGAAAGATTTACCTTTATGGTTGCTTGGCTTCTGATTAAGTGTTTTCATTTGAACTTTTATGGTTTTAATTACAATTTTCATGCTAATCACACCCAGAATCACACTTAGCTTCAAACTCCTATGAAAAATACCTAAGTTTTAGAGGCAGTAACAGTATCTGTAGACACCTCAAATCGACGTGCACATACTACCCATCCCCTCAAAACTGCACAGCCCTTACTAAGTTTTATGTAGCATTATCACAAACAACAAGACAGAAGTCCAGGCTTTGTCCTACACTGTCCTCTTCCCAGGTCTCCACACCAAAGCTGTCATAAATTCTTACAAACTTTAATTCTATCCCCTCTCTCTATCCCTACAAATACTATCTTTTGTCAGGCTTTTTATCACTGCTCAGCTTCTCACCTGAGAAAATTAATAGTTCACACTTTGCTGATGGAATTAGTGATTCAGGGACATTTAAAACATGAAGTATATGAAAACTTTCTAAAGGAAAAATAATGTCTGAAACAACATAGTTCTTCTAGAAAAAAATCAGTAAGTGCAAAAGATTAAGGAAGTTAGGTAAAAATATACCTTTTAGGAAAGTTGCTTACCTTTTAATATTCTTCAGTCTTTTAAGTCCCATTGTGTAATCTTCATTTAAACACATAGTATATTCAGAGATACCAAAATGTTCTAATTTAGGAGTTACACACTCAAAATCATCCATCTTTAGCGCACATTTTGGGGTTTTTGGTACTTGAATTACTGATTGTTTGGCAGGCGGAGTTTTAGCTCTGTGCTCTTCCTTACGGTTGATTGTTGCCTGCTGGGGTGGAACACGGGACACCACATACCGCTCAAGTCCGAAGTCTGAGAGCTGTGGACTCCGTGGGGGCTTCTCAGAAAGAGAAGAGCCAGGCAGACTGCCCTGCAGGTCAGGCTTCTGTAGGTATCCACACTGAGCCAGCTCTGAGGGGGAGTCAGTGACTCTTTGCTCACACACTAGGAGGACAAATCAAAGAGGTAAATATTCAAAGAGAAAAATCTCATGTTTAGTACAACATAAATTTATTTCTTTGTGCAAATCTTAATTTTCTATTGTTTATTTGTGCTCCATTTTGATGATGCATGACAGAAATAAAGCATTTGAAAAATCAGTACCTACAAATAAAAGTCCCATTTCCCTACTTCCCCAATTAATGACATTTATCAGTCTTTCTTAATATTTTCTGAAACTATCCTTTCATTAGTCAGTGTGGAATTAAGTATGCAACCAACTGTGCTCTAGATTTTTTTTTTTAACAGTGAATGAGAGACTTTAATGGTAATCTTGCAAGATTGGTGCCTGGAGGAGCAGAGCCATTGGAAGTGGTTTCAATAAACATTATATTGTCTAGTGGTGCTCTAGATTTTTAACACAAAGTATATTTTTTAGATTTTTAACTTCCAGATGGCCGAGTTAAAGAAGGAAGAATGCTATACAAAAATAAATTTTGGACTGGCGGATTGGCTCAAGCAGTAAGAGTGTGTGCCTAGCAAGCATGAGGCCCTGAGTTCAAACCCCAGTACTGCCACCACACTAAAAATTTTTTTTATCCTAGGTTGATTTAGGAACACCTTTACCAAAAGTGTAGCTGAGACAATACTAGGAAATCGCTTGAAGGTTATGCACATCCTCATCTGCTAATGGGTTCTGTGTTTTGATTTTGTGGCTCTGGCCCTTATAAGAGCTTCCAGCTCACTGAGTTGTTTCAGCATTATGCTTTCTGTGAGTTCTGAGGGGTGCTCCCAGAGCTGCCAAAAACCTTCTGCTGTGTTTACATGAGGACTATCACTGATATGAGCAACAAAATCATCACCATTATCACTCCTCAGTAGGAAGATATGATTATCAAGGTGACATGTCAAAACTGGGGCCCATTGACCTGTTGCTCTTTCACACCAAAGTCAGCAGGATTCTCTTCATCATGCCATGTGGACTATTTAACATGCCTTGTACCCTCATCTTCAATTCACACTTGTTGAGTTTAATTAATGTTTTACTGATATAAAAGGTCATTTTCATAAAAGACACGAAGACACTGTAGCATACTAGAGCCAAAAGAACAGTTAATACTGGGTGACTGACGTACCAAGCATTGCTCTATGAAAATTTTATCCTACTTAGTCTTTCTGCACCACATGAAGTAGATGTATTAAATATCCCCACCCTAGACAAGAAACTGAGGTATAAGGCTAGGAACCTGCCAAAGATAACACAGCAAGTAAGCGGTGGAATAGAGATTTGAACTCATGCAAATTTGGCACATACATTTTTTTTTTTTTTTTGAGTTAAGGTCTCACTATGTAGCCTATTCTGACCTTCAACTTACAATCACCCTGCCTCAGACTCTGAAGAAGCTGGAATTACAGGGGTGCACCACCGTAATGGGGCTTTGACTCAAAATTCTAAGCCATTATGCAATACTACAGACCATGAAACTTTTAGAACTAAGAAAGGACTTTTTATCAGTGAGCTCTACTGCTTGAGCCACACTGCCAGCCCATTTTTCTCTGGCTATTTGGAAGATAGGGTCTCCTGAACTATTTTCCCCAGGCTGGCCTCAAACCTCAGCCCTCTGAACTCAGCTTCCCAACTAGCTAGGATTACAGGTGTGAGCCACCAGTGCCCAGCTCCTGCCACCTTCAATACTGAACCAAATGCTGTAAGATGAAAGTTATTCAAACCTGAATTTTCCTTGACACGTGGATTATATCCATACTTCTCGAAAAACTCTCTTATTTTTGTAATATCTGTTGAATTTTTGTTCATCAGTATTTTTGTTGCTTTTATAAAACCAATGCTTTCTTGATTTTCCAATCTTGCTTTATCAAGAAGAATATTAATATTGTCCTTTTATGAGGAAAGAAAATACATTATATATCTGCTAACTTCCAAGTTTACTTAAGCTAAAAAAAAAAAAAATTACCCACCACAGAAAAAGATAAACCGGTATTATAGGAATGATACCTTTAGAGTCCAGACTTCTGAATGAAGGTCATGTAAAATTCTTGTTGGATAATCTTCAAAGTCTTCAATATCAATGTTGAAAGGAAAAAAGTCCAATACAAGGAATAAGAACATAGAAAACTTAATGTAGTTTTAGGCTTTATCTCCTGTTGATTACTTTAAACAGTATTAAAGTTTTTTTTTTTTTTTTTTTTTTTTTAATGGCACTAGAGCTTGATCTCAGGGTCTCAAACATGCTAAGCAGGTACTCTACTATTTGGCCACCCACCAACCCTTTAAAACCTTTATTGTATAACATATATACAGAAAAGTATTCCAGTGACAAGCATACAGCTTGATGAACTGTACAAAGCGAATCTACCAGCCTAGCCAGCCCTCGCCTCAAGAAATGAGGGATGGTCAGGCACCAGTGGCTTATGCCTATACTCTTAGCTACTCAGGAAGCAGAGATCAGGAGGATCACTGTTCAAAGCCAGCCCCTCCCTATCTCCAAAATTCCATTACAAATAAAAGGGCTGGCGGAGTGGCTCAAGCAATGGAGCACCTACCTAGCAAGCGTGAGGCCCTGAGTACTGGGAAAAAAAATGAGGGAAGGAGAGAAGTAAAGGGGAGGGAGGATTAGTGAAACTTTACTAGTGCTGTTGAGGATTTTCCCTCCCCCCAGTTTGTAAAACCATGAGGCAGTTTTACCTGTTTATGAAGTTCATTTAATGAATTCAGCAGTGTGTGTACTCTGTTGTGATCGGCTTCTTTCACTCAGCATGCTTTGTGACATTCCTCTGTGTTTATCCATAATCCAACCACCCATGCTCATTGCCGTATCTTCCACGGCACGGCATCACATCCATCCTGTTGCTGAACTTTGTGTGTTGTGTCTAATTTGGAACTATTATGAATATGCTTGCTTTGAACTTTCTAGAACATGCTTTTGGTGTGAATACTTCACATTTGCGTATGCTAAAGACCTCAAAAAGTGCTACGTGATAGGTTATATCTATGTTCAACTTTAGTAAAAACTGCCAAGTGGCTTTCCAGTGTGGTGGTTACAGTTTGCACTCCCACCAGCAGCACATCAAGTTCCACATCTTTACAGACACGTGGAATGTCCCTCTTTTTTATTTTAGTTATGCTGGCAGGTGCCCACCTGTACTGCATTGGGATTTAATTTGTATCTCCCCATGACTAATGAATTTAAAGGTCACGTAAAAACTTTTTTGTGGGTTTGTTTTGAGACAGGTCTCACTATGTATCCCAGGCTGGCCTTGACCTCACCATCCTCCCACTTTAGTCTCCCAAATGCTGGGATTACAGTTGTCTACCACTATGCCTGGCACATGTGATGATAATTTAAAATATCAATTTAAAACTTTTCATTTTCTGTGGTATTGTCAATTTGTAAGTATTGTTTGGGTACAAATCTTATGTCAGAAACATGTATAACATCTTCTTCTATGCTATATTTTGCCTTTTCACTCTCTTAATTTTGATAAACATGATTCTAAAGTCCTACTTAGCAATTTTTTTCCCCTTTATGATCATTACTTTCTGGTTCCTATTTTAAAATCTTTGCCACACTCAGAAGGCTGAGGCAGGAGTATCATGAGTTCAAGGTATCCTGGTCTACATAGTAAGCCCCTGTACAAAAAATACCAAAACAAGAGCTGGAGAAGTGGCTCAAGCAGAAGATTTGCCTAGCAAGTTCAAAGCTCTGAGTTCAAACTCCAGTACCACCAAAATAGAATAAAACAAGCTGGGTGTTGGTGACTCATGCCTCTAATATGAGCTACTTGAGAGGTTAAGACTGGGAGGATCACAGTTTGAGGCTAGCCCAAAAAGTAAGCAGCACCCCCATCTCAACCAGTAACTGGGTTACTGCCTGAGATGCCTGGTGGCATGTACCTGTTATCCCAGCTTGAGTTGAAGCCAAAAATTGGAGGCTCAAAGTCCAGACTGGCCTGGGCAAAAAGTCAGATCCCATCTCAAAAACTCAAGAGAAAAAAAGGGTTGGAGGTATGGCTGAAGCAGCAGAGTGCCTGCCTACCAGGTTCAAACCCCACTACCATCAAAATACCAACCACTCCCACCACCTCCAAAAAGAAACAAGACAAAATTTGTCAATGACAGAACACAGGTCTCTCACTTTTTTCTAAAAACATTTTTTGTGGGGGAGCGCTGAGACAAGGTCTTGCTATGTTGCCCAGACTGGCCTCAAATTCACAGTCTTCCTGCCTCAGGTTCCGAGTGCTGGATTACAGATACGTACTACCGTGCTGGCCTTTTCCTAAAGTCTTTACAGTTGTCTCTTTTACATCTAGAACTACAACCAACTGGAACAGTTTTTGCATATGGCCTGTGATAAAAGTCCATAGCAAAGGTCTGTTTTCCTCTGTGCCACATGCAAGAAGACATCACTGTCTCACGGCACTGTGACCTTTGTCAGTAATCAGTGAGTCATATATAATGTCAAAGTAGTTTCTAAAAGGATTCTATTGCTCTTTTTTTTTCTGTAACACTCCTCTTTTGATGAGTTCCTTTCTGCTGTTAAAAGTTGACCAACTTGGGCTAGGAGGTGGTGGCACAGATCAGATTGGGGTTTCACATTCTCCCAGAGGCTTCTGTGCCCCAAGTCAGTGGCTATCACATTCTGTTTTTAAAAACACTGTATGATATATTTTTTGCAACTTCTTAATGAAAACCAACTGTCCTTTCAGGGCTGTGCTCCCAAGCCAGCGCTCCCAGCCAGTGAGCCCAGTCCCTTCCCTAGGCTGCACTGCCAAAAAGGTGAAGATTAAGTGCCAGAATGTGTGGCCAAGCACCAGAACTCTGCCATCTATGATGGTGTTTAACGGCCCGTGTAAGGCTCCAGGTGACAACTGTGTCCTGGTGTGGGGCCATGGCATCCACACGCCTAGCATCTTCAGGTGGTTCAATGCACAGCAGGCGCAGCAGCACAGCCCCGGGTGCCACCAACAGTGAAAGCTCCAGGAGTGAGGCCTCACGCTGCACCCAGGTCCTCCCTCCCCAGAATATGCTAGGGCAGGGTCCCTTCCCCTCATCCCAAGATGGCATTCTGAGACCCTCCTCCTCACAGTGGGAACAGGCAAGAGAGCCTGGTTGCTACTGAGAACTATTCCCCTTGGACTGTGAAAGGATTGAAAGGAGGACTGGCGCATCTTTTTTTTCATCATAATATTGATGTTTTTATTCAATAAGGAAAATTCATAAGCACCTGAGCCTTGAGAAATAATAATAAAAAAAAGCTGACCAATTTTAATTAGGGAAATGCAAAATCAAAACCACAAAGCAAATCAAAACCACAATGAGATTCAACTTCATAGTCACTAGGATCTCTAATTGAAAAGACAAACAGTAACAAATGTTGGTGGGGATGTGAAGAAATTACAACTGCCAGTCCTTGCTAGTGCAAATGTGCAGTGGTGCAGCCACTCTGCAAAGCAATTCTGCAGTTCCTCAGTAAGTTAAATATAGGTTTACCGTATGAGAAATCCTACCTCTAGGTAAATACAGACTCAAGAGAATTGAAAACACATTTATATAAACACTAGCAAGTCAGAGGCCAGTGGCTCACACCTGTAATTCTAGCTACTTGGGAGACTGGATAGGGAAGATCACACATGGCTCAAGGCCAGCCAGGGTAAACAGTTCAAGAAACCCAGTCTGAAAAATACCTAGAGAAAAATGGACTGGAAGTGTGGCTCAAGTGGTACAGCACCAGCTTTGCAAGCCCCATTTCCAACAACAAAAAATTTTATTTCTTTTTTAAAAAGTACTAGAATTTGTGTTGGCAGAGTGGCTCAAGTGCTAGAGTGCCTGCCTATAAGTGCGAGGACCTGTGTTCAAATTCTAGAATCACCCAAAGTATAGTATTTGTATTGGCAATATAGTTTGTAGGGGAAAATACAGATGTTTAACTGCAACTGTGGACCATTATAGGGTGAGATAGTCACTATATATGTAATGTACTATACATGTAATGTATTAAAGAGCATATCAGAGAACAATGCTAAATAGCTGCTGTTTACTTATTTTTGAGATAAGCTCTTGCTATATAGCCTAGGCTGATCTTGAACTTGCCCCTGCATAACAGCTGCATATTAAAAGGAAAGTGCAATTTGTTTAGATGGCACATTAACAAGCACACAACATGTGTAACACGTCTAGGCATGTCATGTACCAGTTAGTGCACCCATTATGAGCTCCATTCGCCAATTAGATTTTATAAAGTGCCTCTGTGTCTCTTCACAACATAGTAATAGCAGTGCTACTTTCATCATTTGAAGAGTACTGTGGATTTCCGTGGAATTAAAAACGGGCACACCGACACAACTGAGGAATCATAAGAAAGCATGTTCTATAAACACGTACAATCATGTGTTCATTAAAAAAGAAAGAGAGTAAGTCATGGGAAGGCCTGCACCTCCGGGGCTCAGTTGACGAACGCCGAGCGTGTGACGGGCGCCGCTCCCCCACCAGCACCTCTGGGGCCAGGCTCACCCGGGTCGGTCCGCTCCTTCCCGCCCGCTGTCAGTCCTCGTCGCAGCGAACCCCGCCCAACGCTGTCGAATGCCCGTCCGCACTCACCGCTCTCCTCTCCGTCCAGCGCTCGCTGCAGCCGGGCCGTCTCACCGTCCAGCGTGCTGGCCAGAGTCCGCAGCTTCCCGCAGAAGCTCCGGATCGGGTCCATGCGGGCAGCTGAACTGGAATCTAGGCTCAAGCAGACTCCACCACTCTGCTCAGAACGAACCCGCCACTCTTTTGAATGTGTCGGCGCGGCCGCGTCCTCGGTTCCACGCAGGCGCAGAAGTCCTCTCGCGAGAGCTGAAGTCTCGCGCGACCGCTCCAGAAGGCCTCGCTAGGCGACCGCACTTCCGCCTTCGCGTCGGGGAGCGACCTGAGGCACGCAGAGCTCTGAAGACCACTGCTGGTGAGTAGCGGGCCTCGATCCCCGGACTGTGGGCGGTGGCTGGGTTTTCCACTTCCGCTGTGTGAGGGAGCGGGGTGGGTGTTGGTGCGGGTTTGCGGGACCCGGTCCCTAGTGGCGCGTGGGCTCGGGTCGCGCGTCCGCGGTGCAGTTGCCTGCCGGGTTATCCCCAGCTCGCGTCTCGGCCCTGTGTTCTTTCCCCGCAGGCGCCATGTTCCTCACCGCCCTACTACGCCGCAATCGGATTCCCGGCCGGCAGTGGATCGGGAAGCACCGGCGGCCGCGGACCGTGTCTCTGCTGGCGAAGCAGAACATGGTGCGTCGCCTGCAGGTGGAGGCGGAGAACCACTACTGGCTGAGCATGCCCTGCATGACGGCCGAGCAGGAGTGCGGCCACGCCGCGGCGCGCAGGGCCCGGGCCTTCGAGGCCATCAAGGCGGCCACCACGTCCAAGTTCCCCCCGCACAGATACGCGGCCGACCAGCTCGGCCACCTCAACGTCACCCAGAAGTGGTCGTGAGGACAATGAGCCACTCGGGGCGCCACACGCCCTGGTCCTTAAAAGTATTGTCGCTCACCTCTCCTGTCTCTCTCTTCTTGAAGCTGGTCGGAAATACCAAAGTTACTGGGTCACAGGTGGCAGAAGCCGCATTTTGAATGAACGTTGCCATGAAACTGCACACTGTGATTTGGGTGTGACACACTGATGCGGGTTTTGTGGTGTAACAGCAAGCGTGCTTACCTTCTGTCAAAAATAATGCTGGCCTTTAAATGGAAATAAGATTTTCCCCCAAACAGCATTTTCTTCCGAGATTTGAGACTGGACATTTAAGTGTGGTAAAGGTATTTATCAAAACTGTTAACATGAAAGTAATTTTTTTTTTTTTTGGTGACGGCCTTGGAACGTAGCCTACAGGCGTGCACCACCACTACCTCCTCCTTGAATGCGTATTTTTCCTTTATTTTTTGGCGGTACTGGGGTTTGAACTCAGGTCTTGGCACCTTCTGAGCTCTACCAGTTGAACCACACCTCCAGCCCTTAAAAAGTGTAAAGCAGATTTTTGGAAATACAATTTAATATACCATTCCATTCACCAGTTGAAGATTTTCTTTAAAATAACCTCTGTGAATATAATAAAGACAACCAGGAACTTTATGTTACCAAATACAACTTCCTGTATAATTTGGACTATTTTATGTATGAAGAATTTATCCAGAGTTACTCCTTAGTAATGACAGGGACCTGGCCTTGAGAATTGCTCTTGAACAAAATCCTAACTGCTGTACATATATTTAATAGAAAATTTGCAAAATACATAAAAAATAATCCCATTACCCATTAATGAAATAATCATGTGTTTTTTGGTTTTTTTTTCTTTTAACGTCCTTGTATACATACACTTCAGACGTGTTTTGGGACTGGATAAATAGTACTTAGAGCCAAAGCTGTAACATTTCCATATCCTGATGCCACATGGCTTTCCAGAAAGTGCAAACTATAAAGATTTATGTGTGAGTGCCAGTTGCATTTTCAGCATTGAATTTTGTGTATTTGCAACAACAAAATACCATATTTTGTTAATTAGATGAGTCACATTTTAGTATTTGCAGTTACTATTTATAGGCTGTGATGGAGACAAGGCTAATTAAGATTTATTAAATTTCATTTAACAGTGCTTAGGAATTTCATAGTTGCTTAACCAAACCAACTATTAATATATCATATACTTATCTTACAGATAAGGAACTACTACTTACTGATAATGGATACCTAAGTACTTTTCATTGCTCACAGAAAGATCTCTGGTGCATATGGGCAATTTAATATTTCTGAACTTTAGTTTTCATGCCTGGAAGTAGTGATAGTTCACACAGTTTAGGAGAACACAGAAGAGAACTGAGGGCCTACTTAAAAATGTTTAGTGGAATAATTAAAAGTGTTAGGGAGGATGCGTTGGGGGAGGGAGAGACTAGGTAGCTGTGGCAATCATGTAGCTAAACATTGGATTTAGAGTACAAACTTGAAGAGTAGAAAGGGTTAAAAGGTAGAAGAGCAGAATTTGTGACCAATCAGGTGGCTCCCAATTCTGGCTTTGGTGGGTGCATGGACCTGAGGATGCTGTATGATGTAATTGTGACCAGGGACTTTGCCTCTCTCCACTGTATTCATTAGAAAATCCACTGGATGAGCTCTATTTGCTCTTCTTTTGTTTGAACCCAGTGTAATTGCTGACTTTAAATTTGTGGCCACAAATTCTAAATCGACTTTATCATATGTATTTGCTAGTGTTGCCATAATAAAATACCACAGTCTGAGTGGTTTAAACAAATTTATTCTCACAATTTTGGAGGCTAGAAGTCCTAAGTCAAGGTTTTGCAGGGTTGGTTTTCTCTGAGGCCATTGGAAAAATCTATTACAGACCTCTGTCCTTTGCTTTCAGATGGCTGCCTTGTCTTTACATGGCCATTCTTTTATGTGTGCGTTCATGTCCAGGACCAATCTGTGTTTCCATCTAAGGAGTCCAAGCATTTTGGGTTGGGGCCATACTAACAGCCTTATTTTAACTTAATTACCACCTTTTAACTACCTTAAGTCCAAATTTGGTTTTATTCTGAGGTACTAGAGGTTGGGAATTCATCATACACATTTTGAGAGATACAGTTCAACTCATAACACGTTTCTCTGATTAGTATAATCAGATAATTCCCTCTCTCCACATGCCTGCTACCCGTAGGCCTCCTCTGTCGTGACCCCCAGCTAGTGACCTCATTTCACTGATGAAACTGAAGTCCATGGATAAGAACCCCATTCATCTTCATAGCTTAAAGTCTGTTCTATGTAAGTCCTTATTCTAGCTGTCTCTTTTCTTGGCTCAAAGCCAGCCTGGGCAAATAGTTTGAGAGACCCTATCTCTCGAAAATACTAACACCAAAACAAGGCTGGTGGAGTGACTCAAGTGATAGTGGTAGAGTGCCTGCCTACCAAGCATGAGGCCCTGAGTTCAAACTCCACTATCACACACACACACACACAAAACCCCAAAAAGCCAGACGCCAGTGATTCACACCTATAATCCTAGCTACTCAGGAGGCAGATACCAGGAACTTTTACCCTTGAGTGCAATGTTGGCTTAGCATTTGCAAATCACTAATTTACTATTCACACACAAACATGGATTAAGATCATCTCATTAGGTTTAGATTAAAATGTTTGGCAAAGTCCAACATCTAATCCTAATAAAAATTCTGAGCAAAGAAGTAAAAGGAAATTTCCTTGACCCAACTGCTAACATTGTATTTAGTGGCAAATGACCTAATTCTTTCTTCTTGAGATCATGAACAAGGCTAGGATGTTTGCTATGCTTCTATTTAGTATTATACTGGACATTATAGTCAATGTAATAAGGCAATAAAAAACAACTCATCCAGACTGAAAAAGAAGAAATGAAACTGACAACAAATGACCAGGTTGTCTATGTAGAAAGTGACAAAAGTGCCACTTTCTGTACCAATCAATGTGTTTGGTAAAAATTGTAGAATGAAGTATCAATATTAAAAAATAAGTTGGATTAGTACAATGAGTAATCATCTTGAAATAATGCTCTTTCCAGTAGCAATAAAATCTGAAATACTTAGGGATGAATCTGACAGAAGGCGTGCATCACCAGTACAGTCTTGGGCTAGGCATGGTGGTGCATACCTGCAATCCCAACCTCCCAGTGGGGGAGGTGTGGGTAGGAGGATTGTGGTCTGAGGCTGGCCCCACACAGAAAACACAAGACGCCATCTAAAAAATAACTAAAGCAAAAAAGGGTTGGGGGTGTGGCTCAAGTGTTGGGGCACCCACTAGTAGCAAACATGAGGCCCTGAGTTCAAACCCCCAGTACTCCTCTAAAAAACAGTAACAAAGCTATGAAATTGCGCTGAGAGACTGAAGAGGTCCTGAAGAAATGGGGAGATACTCTCTGCATTGGTCAGCAACTTCAATACAGTAACTGTCAAGTTTACCAGAATTGATCTGTAGTTTCAGTGAAATCCTTTGTGTGGGGGAGGGGAGAAGAAGGGCAGAAAGTGACTAGCTGGTTCTAAAATTCATAAGGAGCCAGGCGTGAAGACATGCATCTGTAATGCAAGCTACTTGATAGGCGGAGGCAGGAGGGTTATGAGTTGAAGGTCACCTCCTAATGGTGAACCTTATCTCCTTAGGAGCCATTGGTCACACTCCAGAGTAAGAACCTTGGGTAATATGAAAGGTGACTATTTCAGAGACCTCAGGAGGGAACATTGCCTTGCTATGTGTTTATATTTCAAGGGAGAGAAAAACCCAGGTTATAAAGTTGCTAATATTCCCTCTAGAGAGATTTATTTATATCAGAACCCTTTCCTGTTAGGAAGAGGGGTACATATTCCTATGTCTATATAAGTGAAGAAAATCAATTTCTAAAGTTTTTCTACATAATCTCACATATATGTAGGTTTATGAAATTCTGCTTTCTTCACATTGTCTGCCACATGAGGCATGGAGGACTAGTCGGGCTGTTTTAGCTGCTGTTCTTGCTGTGATTAAATCACTGTGACCTCTGGCTAAGGAGACTGGAGACCAGGCCCTCTGAATCACAAGACTTCTACAGCCTCCTTCTCTGCACAGGAAGGCTGGACAGGGGTCTGTAAGCATCGAGACCAGGAGGCAAGGAAACTTGGTCTTTCAGTTCTCCTCCAACCAATGCAGAAATCAGTGTTCTGTTCCCCACACCTTCTGATGCATTTGGGGGTCACTAATAGACTTGGATACTTGCTTCCCCTGGAGACACAAACTTAAGGGACTTGTAGAGCACGTGGGAACCTGCCCAGCGCACAGGCTATAAAGCATTCTGTGACCAGCAGCTGCTCCCACCACACAAAGAAGGTAAGCTTTTATAGTGAAAGCAGTACAAAAGCGGACAACTGACCCTTCTACAAGAGCCTCCAGCTAGTCTTCCTCAGTCTGGTTCCCTGAGAACATGGTCAAATCTTAGCTATTCAGCCATATCCCCAGTCCAATGGTGAAAAATACCATCTCAACCTGGCTACTATACTGATTTGCCTGAATATTGATATTTCAGGACTGGGTGTGGCTCAAGTGGTATAGCATGAAGCCCTGAGTTCAGTATTGCAAAAAAAAAAAAAAAGACTATTTCAACTGAAAGATTACAGATGAATAAAACCTCCAACCTCAGATGTACAAGTCTCAAAGCAGAAACATGAGATATATAAAAAAAAAAAACAACATGACTCCTAAAAAACTCAACAACTCCATAGAAACAAACACTAATGATAGTAAAGTGGATGCAATCTCAAAGAATTAAAAGAATGATTGTAAGAATTATCAATGAAAGTAAAGAGGACACAAACAGTATAGGCCAGGAAAGAGGAATCCAGAAAGATAAATTCTTTAAAAAAAAAAGAGTCAAGTTGAAATTTTGGAAATTAAAACATCATTAAGTCAAATAAAAAGCTCAGTTGAGTCTCTCTAGTAAACTGGATTAAACTGAAGGCAGAATATCAGGGCTTGAAGACAAGATAGATGTGTTAGAACATGCAGATGAAAACAGGAAGAAAAAAAAAACAATATGCAAGACCACTGGGACACCATTAAAAGACCAAACTTATGAATCACGGGCATAGAGGAAGAAGAGGTACAAGCTAAAG